AAGGAGAGGAGCGCTGGGAGTCGAGGAGCCCTGTGACCCCGGGGCCTGGTGCCAGGAAAGGAGGAAACGCCGATTAGAGGAGAGGTGGGTAGAAAGGAGGTGGCTCACTTCCGGATGGGCCCTTTGGAAGGGACTGGGCCCAGACCTACTGAAACGGAAGGCATCTGGAAATAGTTGTTTAGAATGGGTTCTTTAAAAAATTATAAGAACACAGTTGCAAAATACATCACACAATGAAAAGAAACACACGAAACACAAAGAACCCTGTATGAACAAGACAAGACACTCAGTGCCCGGGGACCAGGGCTTTATAATATTTTCCCCTTGATTTTAATTCTTCTTCCTCTAACTCTAACTTTCTGCTATTTCAGGAATGCCCTCTTCTATCCAAAATTGCATTGCATCAGCTGAAGGGCTAATACCCTTTCCTTTTATTAGTACATATTCAATAAACAGACCTCATATATCATTAAAATAATTCTTTGTCAATCTTTTTTTACCCTAATCCCACACACAAACTTATCATCAACAGCTATATCCCAGACTTCTTTACACCTTTCAATTAATTGAAGATCCCGTTTCGCCTTCCAATTCTTTGCTATTATCAGTTTTGACTGATGGAATGGGTTCAACAAGGCACTCAGTGCATGCTCAGAGATAGATTCTGTGGAGGTTGTGTTTATTGAGTATCTTTGATGAATAAAGAGCTTTTGCAAAGACTTGGTCTGTTGCCTTGAACCTGCAGAGGGAGGAAAACTTGGCATATGGAAGGAGTTGTAAATTTTTTTTCAGTCTAAACATGTTCAGAGTAACAGCACAAACCAATGTGGTAACCTGGAACTTCCTGGACGTGCAAGGTTAGAAACATGGAAACAGAGCAAGGAAGGCAGAGTGAGTCAGAAGGGGCCTCCCGGGCCATCTAGTCTGACCCCCGGCTTCAGCTGGCTCCACTCACAACATGCCCACCATGTGCATGTCCAGCCTATCCTTGAACACCCACACCAATGGGGCCTCAACGACCTCCCATGGGAGCCCATTCCATACCCTCGGGGTCCTGACTGTCAGGAAGGGCTTCCTGACACTCAAATGGAACCTTGGCTCCCTGAGCTTTGCTCCCTTGGAGCGCGTCCTGCCTTCCTCTGCAGGGGAGAACAGGTCTCTGCCCACCTCCGTGTGACACCCCCTCACATACCTGTATGTTGCCAACAGATCCCCTCTGAGTCTCCTCTTCTCCAGGCTGAAGAGACCCAGTTCCCTCAGCCTCGCCTCAGCCTACGGCATCCCCTGCAAACCGGCCACCAACCTTGTGGCCCTGCGCTGCACTGACTCCAACCTGGCTACATCCTTCCTGTAATAAAGGGCATTCCCATAAGAAGGGAAAGGAATGCAGGGGCAACGGCCATGTCTGTACATTTCCCATCCTGGGAAAGACGGGGAAGAGGGCAAGTGCCCTGGATGTCAAGGAGGGCGTGTGTTGAGTGTTATGCTGAAGTGTGTCTCCTCCCCCTCACCCATCACCTGGAAAGGTCCTCGTACCTCCAGCTCCAGAGGTCCTTCCAACCTCAGGTGGAAGGCAGGTGGAGTCCCTGGTGTGAGACAGGGGCAGGTGAGGGCCAATGGCCCAGAGCACTTTGAGCAAGCCCCCTTGTGGGCCAAGGGAGGGCACTTGGAGGCCCCCTGGAGTGCATTTCTGCAGCTGGAGCTGAGAATCAGCCTTTCCTTTGGGCATCCACGAAAACTGTCCCTCTTCAAGACACACCACTCCCGTTATGCATTCTCACACTCTAGTCAACGAATTTGGAAAAATGTGCAAGCAAGTGGACACTTTTCCTTTGAAATGTGATCTTTCCCTGTTGGATGTCAAGGAAGACAACCTGCATCCAGATCGTGCCAGCGTCTGGACGCGTGCAAACCTGCCTTGGACAACAGGAAACAACGCAGATGCAGCGTGCCCCGAGAGCCCTCATGCTGGTCGTGGCTTTCGGTACCCATGAAGAAGCCCCGGGCCGGGGAGAATTTTCTTGCTCTTTCTGCAGTGCTAATCCTCGGTGCAACAGGCAAGAAATGAAAGGTACCTCGGGTGGATTTTTAGAACTTTTATTTTCACGTTCCTCGAAGGCTTTCTCTTGATTCTGCCTGCACTCGCCTCCATTCCATTTCAGTCCATTAACCTGCAGCATTAGAAGTAAAATGGAGAGAGAGCACTGAGTCCAACTCGTGTGTGTGTGTGTGTTTCCCTTCGGGGAATGCTGGGGCTGAGCTGAGTTCCAACACAGTTTGAGTCTGTGATGTGGAGACAGCTTGCTAAGGGAAGGACAGTTCTGCCAAACCTTGGCTGCTTACAGACCGTGAGTGGCTTGAAATGACATGGGCGTTTTAGTGCCTGTTTCTGAACAAACGGTAGTGTGAGGGATGGAAGAAAGCCTGCATTATTTTTGTATCCAGCACCTCTGCAGGGTGGGGAGGTGGAGCTGGGCTCGCAGGGCCTGAGGTTGCCTGCATGGAAAGCTCCTTTGGTCTTTATAGTGCTGAGTTTGGATGCCAGTTTTCCCAGAGCCCTTAGCAAGATGCCCACAGTGGGCCTCCTCTTGCCCCCTCGTGCTGCAGCCTGTTGGTATATGGGAAGAAGAAGTCAAAGAAACTGCTGGGTCTTCTCCTTGCTTGCACACACATGGGCAAGGAAACAGAAACAGAGACAGAGCGAGTCAGAAGGTGCCTCCCAGGCCATCTAGTCTGACCCCCGGCTCCAGCCAGCTCCACTCACGACATGCCCACCATGTGCATGTCCAGCCTATCCTTGAACACCCGCACCGATGGGGCCTCAACCAGCTCCCGTGGAAGCCCACTCCACACCTAGGGACAGGGGACTGAAGACTGGCAGGGCATCCCATCATCCTAGGCTGGGCAGTGCCCAGCAAAAAGGAAAGAATGGATGGCTTTATTGAAATCAGAATAACCTGCAGCTACCTGTGGTTCTGCCTCTAATGTGTGGTGTGGTAGCTGGACTGGGACCTGGGAGAGCCGGGCTGTCGCCCCATTGGCCATGAAGCTCGCTGGGTGTCTTTGGGTCAGGAATGCTTCTCAGCCTAACCCGAGAGCCAGTGTGGTGCCGTGGTTAAGAGCGCAGGGCTAGGACTCAGGCGATCTGGCCCTGCTCCACCATGGAGCCAAGTGGGTGACTTTGGACCAGTCACAGACTCTTGGCCCAACCTACCTCGCAGGGTTGTTGTTATGGGGATAAAACAGAGCAGTGGAAGGAGAATGATGTCAGCTGCTTTGAGTGCTTTTAAAAAAGATAAAAGGAGGACCATAAATCTAATAAGTAAACAAATGGCCTACCTTGCAGGATTGTTGTGAGGATAAAATAAACGGGGGGGGGGGAAGGATTGTGTGCACCACCTTGGGTTCCTGTAGGAGGAATTTAGGTGGAATAAAAATGCTTTCATTTTTTACAATTGCATAATCAAGATGGATGCCTCTAGCAAAAAGAAGAGACTCTATTTTCTCAATATCTGCTGGATTAATGTTATTGCATAAGGTCTCTGTATGATGCATCTGAATCTCAGACACCTTTTTGTAAGTACTACAAAACAGACCAGATAATCATGAGTGCCAAGCAAGCTGCAAATAGGAAAATAAAGCGCTTATAGTCATTTGGGCTCCTTATTTCTCAACACGTCAAGGTCCAGGAAAGTGGATTTGCGGGAAAGCAGGTTAGAGAGAGGACAAGGAGGGATTTTGACCTAGGGAAGAATTTGGGGTTCATAATGCCCACCTTTTATTCAATGTATTTTGAAGCCAGAAGCCAGAAAACCATCACTGGTTCACGTCAGTTTCCAGTTCCTTTGGACTGAAATTCAATTGATCTTTACCCAGAAAAGCAAACCCTACTAAAATTCCCCACATCCCCCATCCTGTCTGTAAGAGGTGCTTTTCGCAGCTCATTTGCCCCACAGGTGCCCGTCTTTGGCATGGTGTTTCACGGGTCGGGTGCGCCCAGGGCAGCTTGCTCGTTGGTACAGCACCACACAAAGGGTGTTCACATCGCCATGCGTGCCACTGTTGGCAGTTTCATGTTTGCTGATGTTACAGTGCGCATGAGTTCCTACTGATGTGCCCATTGACCTTCTTGGGGGGGGGGGGGGCTGCCAGGATACAAAGAAAGAGAAAACTACTGCGAATTGTGCATGCAGTGGTCTCGCTTCGGAATCCAGTGCCGCTGGCTCAGCACCCATCCAGAAGAGGAGCGGGCAGGTCACAGAAATCGCCAGCGAGAGCACGAAGACCGGTTCATCCCCACGTCCTGAAGATCTCGCCGGTCCCCGATGAGCCACCCTTGCTGGGAGGCGGCCCCCGCATTCTTCACGAAGTCGTGAACCGTCTCCAAGGGCTGCCTCCTACAAGGGCTGCTGCAGCAGTCTAGCCAGCCCTGGCAGATGGCACGTGGTGGTCAGCAGAGAGCCCTGCGCGAAAGCAGCCTCTTCCCTGCCCCTTTCGCTTCCCTTTCCCAGACTAATCTCGACGACAGACCCCCATATCAGAAAAACACACCGCGGGGGGGGGAGAAGGGGGGGCCACGCTGCCTCCGCCCGCCTCGCGCCCTGGACGCGCTCGCCAAAGCACGCGCGCGGCCAGGTCGGCGCCAGCGCAAGCAGCCTCCGTCCCACGGCCCCGCCTGGCGCGGCCCCGCTGCCTGCTGGCCGCCCCCTCTCCTTCCCGCCGGGGGCTCGCCGGTGCCCGGCCGCCCCCCGCACTGCCCCGTCCCGGGGCGCCCCGCCCCGCCCCGCAGAAAGCATCCCGTGGCGTCCCCCGCCCTCCCCGCCTCCTCTCCAGCGCGCTGCTATCTGATCCACGATATGTGATCTCCGGGCTGCAAGCACACCTTCCAAGCACGCGCGTCCGCGATCGCCAGCATGTAGCCGGCGCGCCGAGCGGGATGCCCTTCCCGTAGCGGCGGCGGCGGCGGCGGCGGCGCTCCCCTCGGTCGGCTGAGCCTGACGATGACCCTTCGCCCCCCGCCCTGCCGCCTCCCTCCCTCGCTCGTTCTCTGCTTGGTCTTGCTCCCCCTCGGGTACTGCTGCCCGCCCGTCTGTCGCTGCATGGACTACCACACCATCGACTGCCGGGACCAAGGGCTCCCGCGCGTCCCCAGCCCCTTCCCGCTGGACGTCCGGAAGCTCCTCATCGCAGGCAACCGCATCCAGCAGATCCCGGCGGACTTCTTCATCTTCTACAGCGACCTCGTCTACCTGGACTTCAGGAACAACTCCATCGCCACCCTGGAGGAAGGCACGTTCAGCAGCTCCAGCAAGCTGGTGTATCTGGACCTGAGCTACAACAACCTGACACAGCTCGACGCCGGCATCTTCAAGTCCGCCGAGAAGCTGATCAAGCTCAGCCTGGGCAACAACAACCTGGCGGAGGTGGACGAGGCGGCCTTCGAGAGCCTGGAGCAGCTCCAGGTGCTGGAGCTGAACGACAACAACCTGCAGACGCTGAACGTGGCCGCCCTGGACGCGCTGCCCAACCTCCGCGCCCTTCGCCTGGAGGGGAACCCCTGGCTGTGCGACTGCGACTTCGCCAGCCTTTTCAGCTGGCTAGAGGACAACGCGCCCAAGCTCCAGAAGGGTAAGTGCCGGTCCGCTGAGGACGTCCGTTCACGTGCCGTTCCTGTCCGTCTGAATGTCCGTCTGCCTTTCTGCGCGCAGGCTGCTCCTCGCGGACAGGTGCTCTCAGCCTCGGTCTGTGATTCCTCGCAGCAAATATAGGCGGCTCAGCCACATCTTAATTGCATTTCTGAGCCAAAGGCGGACGCGTGGGGAGTCGCTCCGTCCAGAAACGAGATCCCGTCCATTAGCAGCACAGTGAGAATCCATAACAGTGCAAGCCAGAGAGAGGCAGGGGACCTTGCGGAAGAGATTCACCCCGTGGGAAGTCTCTTGCCGGCTGTGTGCATGAACCGAGCGCATTTTTGCCTGCGATCAGCATTCCGCGTGCGAAGGGTTTGTGAAACCGTGTCGGGGATCCCTGTTGTGGAACTGCTTTGGTTGCACAGGGGGGATCAGGAAGGTCGTGTGTGGCACGAAGGGCTCCTTCCAAATGGGTTGTGGCCAAGAATCCAGCTTCTACTACCAAACACACATCTTGCCACCAAGGTGGAGATGTGGAGTGGTGTTAATTTGTGGTCTGGTCTCTGCAAACTAAATCAATTGGCTTGCGTTTATTCATGTTTACATGTTAAAATTATCTTTCTTCCATTCTGTGGAACTGGAACGACTGTTTCCAGCCTTGTTTGTCAGAGAAGAGCAGGCAGATTCTCACAAAGCAGAGAAAGGGGGAAACTGTGTGTGTGTGTAGACTTGGGTGCAAGGTTCACGGGGATTGGTATATTGGTAATAAATCTCCATCTCCCGACGACAGGAAATGTGGTTTGCCCACTTGGGCAGGCAAGAAATGGGCATAATTTTTTCCCTGTTGGGAAACTATTGGAGGCCCTCTTTAGGGGCTCCAGATGCAGCAGGAGCACTGCAACAATTCTGAGTCAAAAGACGGCGAACATTCGTGAAAGTCCTCAAGGGAGCATCTGTGCGGCTTCAGCAAGGTGCACGTCTCCAGGACCACCCTGGATCCCTCTGCCACTTCGCATCCGCTGATGGGGAACAGGGACTTGGGGCAGCGTGTGGGCCTCCCTGCGAGGCCTTTGGGAAGCTTTTGGCGAAGCACTGGATTGCACTGGCTCTTTTTCAGAGCACATGTGTCCCCACAAGGACTCCTCCTCTGGTACATTGAGAGGCCACGCGTGGGCCCTCCTCTGACTTGCGTGGGCGTGTGAGTGTGTGCGAAGGGCCAGTTCCAGTGGTGGGCAGAAGGGAGGGCAAAAATCGAAAGCTCAGACATGCCCCCACTGAATGCTCTTGCTGCCAGACACCTGCCCGCAGTCCTTCCCTCATGGACGTTGGCCAGTCCGTTGTGCAAAGCAGCCATCCCCCAAAGCCTCTCCCAGGCTTTCCCACCGTCTTTGTGGCCTCCTTAGAGGGAGGAAAATACAGTAAAAAATGTGTGACCGTGATTTGCTGCCCGAAGACTTCGGTCTATTCTCTTTTCCGCTCTGTGTGCCTCACAGAGCCACCTTAAGCCTACCCAAAGGTACAGTTCAGCAGGGGAGACTGGGGCTCCCTTTTCGCTGGATCGCGATCTTCTCCACTGCAGCTTTCATAGTGAGCATTGCAGGAGTGAACTGTGATGCAACCACTATCACCAAAACGGGTGTGCCACCATGAAGCACCATGGATATCTCCTAGAAAGCTCAAAATACAAGCCACATGCAGAAGAAGGCCCAGTGCACATGAGCTGCCAACTAGGACCACATGGAAAGGCAGAGAAAGGCGGAAAAGGGACCGGGAAAGCAAGAGATCCTTGCTTCACAGACGTGCTCTTTGTCCTGCAAACAAACTGAGGAAAGTGCCTGGTTAAATGCCTCGTATAGAGAAGCTCTGAGGCTTGGGAGAAGCATTTCAAGTCTTGAATGGGGGAAACTGTGTCAAAGCTGGGAAATCAGCACACAGTGGATGATTAAGGGAAAGGGGTGGCAGCTATGAAAAGGAACCATTGCTCTCTGGGGAGCCCTGGAAAATCAGACTGGGATCAGAGCTCTGCAGGTTGATAATGCCGATGATGATATGATATGATATAATAAATATAATAATATTTCTACCCCAGTCATCAGCCCAAAGGCTCCCCAGTTCTGAATACGCTGCACAGCATATGACCTTCCCTATTTATCTGGGCCACTTATTTACTTCGGCTGCATCTCCCTGGAGACATCAGCATCTCTCGCTCGATTTCAAGGATGCCTTTTGAAATTCACTTAATTGAACACAGGGCTTCTGCCTCCTCTTCAAACCCATGACTGGAACAGAGCATACCTCCCATGTCTGTTGCGCAAAACTCTAGCCATCATTCCTGGTCAATGAAAGTGTTTTTATGGCTTTCAGAAGCGCTGTTCTCCTGCTTCACAGTTCAATCTCAGGAAGAAGCCTATCCCATTGAAGTAAATGGAGCCTGTTCCCAGCTGTGGAGCTGGGTCTCCAGCCTGACATTTCCTAGACCGGTTCCATACAGCAAGGTACACAATTTGCTTGCCAACCTGCGTGGGAGCCCAAAACTGCCCCGTGTCTCCTTGCTCGCACACGCGTGCACGCACACATGCTCACGTACCTCCTGTACAACCCTGCTTGCTTGTGTCATTGCCAGTTTTCCAGACTCTGGTGAAACTGAGAAGGTCAAGAGAAGAACTTTCCATCTCTCTGATGTCTCATTAAAGTTTGCACATTAAAAAGCTGCCACACGGGTGGATGCTGGCACCCTTACGTGACCTTTTGAAGGAAGCGGGGTGCGGGGAGCACTACTCTGGCAAAACGGCCCAGCAGAAACCAGACAGTCCTGCCAGGGACTCTGGGAATCCCAAGCCCTTCTCCAAAACCAAGAGGGTCGCTGCACTCATCTGCAGGGACTGGCTAAGGGAGTTCTTCTTAGCAACAGTGGGAAGTTATCCCTGTGTGAATCAGCCCTACTCCACAGTAGGAGGGAGAGAGAGAGAGAGAGAGGAAAGCTATTTGCCCTAGAGGGGAATATCCTATTTGCTGCAACTGTAAATTCCCCTTGGAGCCAAAAGCAGCTTTAGGAGGGTGGTTCTCAGGGGGATTGTGGCAGGCAAGAAAGGGTTAAGCCCGCTCCCCCTGGCTTTTGGTGGTCCCTCAATGGTGGCAATTTTTTAAAAAAGCTCCTTGATTGCATTCACAGCATCCACCGAAAGTGCAGCTTGGTCCAGAGGGACGTGTCCATACATGAAGGTGGGGGGAAAGAGGTGAAAAAAACCAATTGGAAATATTGCAGTTCCAGGGAGCTAACAGTGAATCGTTGATTACCCTCCACCCAAGAAAAAGTCTTTGTCCAGATATGGCAACTCCAGGGCAGATAACACACTTGTTGGCCTTTGTCCAAAGCAGAACCCTCTTTCTTACGGGATCCAGCAACTGATTTCATGGCCGAGTTACTTGCTATATTCAATGACTATCTTTAGCACCCATTGTAGGTTCTGGCTTGGTTCATTTCCTACTTCTGGAAACACTTCTAGTGCCGTTAGTTTCTGCACTGCCCTTTCCCGGCCTGCAAAACATCTTGGATAGTTTAGGTGTGTTTGTGTGTGTGGCTGCAACAAAACCATCTTCCCACCAGAAAGCAAGATCCTTCCATGCTGCAGAGCAACTGCAGAGAATTCCGTTCTGTTATTGTATCAACAGTTCAGTCGATCCCACTTTCCACACCTCTGGCATTGCAGCGTGATGAGGAGAACTGCTAATTATAATTGCAGTTCTCACTGAATGTTCCAGTGAGATGACCGAAGAACCCGTGATTTAGGGTCGTCCCCCAGTGGAGGCGTTCAAGATACAGCTGGACCTTTTTCAGGGATGCTTTGATTCTCAGGGCTGCAATGAGTAGGGTGTTGGACCAGACGCCTCCGTGTGTGGTGGAGTCTGGCTTGGGACAGGAATCCTTTGGCTTTCGTTGACTCAGTTCCCCAGACTCAGCCCGACTTTCTCTCCGGCCCAGATCTGCCTCACACCAAGGGCTCGCTTGGGCATCCCGTGTGCAAGAGGAATTCTGATTCCCTTCTGCCCACGTGACTTGTGGGCCCTTTTCTGCTAAGAAGGGACCTGCTTGCAGACTTGGTCTCAGCTGGACTCGCTTCCGTGCTGGGGCTGAGCACGGGAAAGAAGTCTGGCGAGCGTGGGAGAGCCATTCTCCAGCCAGATCTCCGCTTCCCGGCTGGCGGCCCCTTCGGACTCTTCCAGCGCTTCTGTTCTCTGATTCTGGAGCACGTGCAAGTCCTTGCATGACCTGCCCACCTTCTGCTGATCCGCAGTTTTCCCACCTCTCCGTTACTGATATGTGCCTGCTGAGCCCCCCCCCGCCCCCCCCCCCCGCCTGCTCTCACGTGCAAGGGCCGGCTGCTCAGGCGCTGAGCCGTGCAGTGAGCCATTGAGGATTTGAGCAGCTCAAAGCAAACCAGGCTCTGGAGAGCTGATCCCCAGGGATCCCGTGGCGTCCTCCCCGGGACCGATCCTGCACGCATCCCTGTGCAAGGGCGCAGTGCTGCCCCTTTCTGAGGCTGGGCTCTCCAGGCAGGGGCGGTGGATTTTTATCCCCCACGGGCCTCTCTCAGCGTGCAACCGGTTCGGGACTGCATGCCGCTGTGGCGTCTTTATCCCAGCATCTCCCTGTGCACGAATGGGGAGATTCACACACCTCCATGAGGAGGGATCCCATCACGCACCTCCTCTGTTCCTTGCCCAGCTGTTCTGCAGTTTCCGAAGCACCAATCAGAGGGCAGGAGGGAAGGTACTTTTAATGGAGGGAGGTGCCACATGGCAAAGCCTCTTCCATGTGAGTTCCCCCCATTCCCAGTTGCGCTGGGGTCAAAGAGTGCAATTCCTGAACACCTTCATACTGCAGCTCCCCCCCCACCATGGGGCAAAGGTCTCTGCGAATTAGTTGTAGGAGAGGTGGAAGAAAAAGTGGTCTTTCCAGCTCAGTGAAATTCTCCAAAGATCACTTTAAGGCTTACT